GGTGTACGCAAGCTGCTGAACAGTCTTGATGGACCAATTCTACCGGGTTTATGGAATCCACCAACTGATCCTTAAGTCAATGTCGGCCATCATCTCGCCTTCTGTGACTGAACTGTTCAACAGGCGGCTATTCGCTGATTCATTACCGAGCGACTGGAAATCATCAGTCTTAAAGTCAATACCGTCAGATGGTGACTCAAATAAAATCGACGAAGTGGACAGCCGAGCTGCTTGATCCCCGTTTTAGCTAAGACACTTGAGATGGTGAAGAAAGGTCACGTGCGACTTCTCGAGTCGAAAAGCCTCTTGAAGTCCACACAGCATGGCTTCGTGAAAGGTCGCTCATGCATCACGAGTGGTTGTGCACGCTGAACCAATGGAACCAAGGGACGTCATTTACGTTGACTAGGTAAATCATGAGATCCTCCTGCACAGGTTGAGGGTGTGCGGTGTTGGCGGCTCGCTGCAGCGAAAGATAAAAATTTTCTTTGTTGGTCGAAAGTAGGGGGTCCAAGTCGACAACCATTGGACTTGTATCCTTCGAACAGTGACGTGTCCCAAGGCATTGTACTGGGGCCCATTTTGTTTCTGATGCATAGAAAAGATGCGCCACAATTCCGCTCGTCTTGTGGGTTGTGTGTATATGAGCTGAAGGTATGGAGAGTAATCAGTGCGCCCGATGACTGTAACCTGTTTCAATGAGACCTTGACCGCCCCTCTATATGGCCTGCAGAGGTTAAACTTCCGACAAACCAGGCCCCGTCGCTGTTCATGAGGTTGGGTAAGTGTGGACATAGTTAAAAGTACACTGTGGCCGGTCAACGGTTGCATCCCTCGCATCTAGTGAAAGATCTCGGTGTACTCTCACGCTATAACCCAAAGTCCGTGGATAAGGCGAATGGGCTTTACTACAAAGGGATTCGTATGCCTTGGGCGCTCAGATGTACCTTCAGCACTTGGACCGAAGAAAGTGCTACTCCCCTTTTCGTCTCAATCAGACGACCGATGCTAGAATAACACCACTCGCATACTGCCCCACCAAGCGGGGCGAGGTACAAAGGATTGGGCGGGTACAGCACGTGACCACCAGGTTCATCCCCACTTTACGAGGCGTGCCAGAAGACCGGAGCAAGAGACTAGGGCTTTACACACCGTCTTAGCGTGGACCACGAGTTGACTTCATCATGACGCATCGGATATTACATCTCGATGATTACCCCAAGTTGAGACCGCCGCTGCATATGCGCACACCAAGCAGTACGCGAGGACCCGCTACAAGCTCGTACTGTCGGATTGGAAGCGGCTAGCCCAATAACTTCGTTTCGAACAGAGAATAGTGAAAAATGGAACAATCCGACGCCTCACGTAGTCGAGGCGAAGTCAATGTCGAAATTCAAGAAATTCCTGGATCAAAGCTTTGCGGACATGAGATATCGCGAATGCTCTCTAAAATAACAGGTATTTGTACCTGAGGGATTTTAGATGCAACTATATAAAAACATTTATTATTGCTGCTTCCATCCAGTATGTAGCGTACACAAACAAAGAGCTCATTGTGGACAGGTTAATGGTGGGAGGTCTATTAGATCTCAGCGAAAACGTAGTCATAATACTTAATTATGTTTGCTACGCAGTGCATTCATCCGAACACTCGGAATCAATAATACAATCATATCCCAACCGAACCCATCGAGGCATCCGCTTGGGAGATCTCAAACAGCAACCCTGTTGATAAGGTTCGGACAGAGTTCGCTGAAAGGTTCAGCGATTAGGTTAACAACGCATCGGAAACCAAGCCACATCGTCCAGCAAAGTAGTGTAGAATCTCGGAAACATGAGTTGAAAATGCATGGTAATAAGGAATGTGGCATGGCATGTCTACTAGGCCAAACCCGACCTAGAGATTTGGAGCAATTTCCTTACCCCCCGCAACCACGGTACTACACTTGTCGGTGAGGACAAAGTAACAGCAACAGTGCCTAGACAAAACGTTTTTGACAAACGGCAGGACTGTAAAGGCATGCCAACAACCAGTGTACAGTAAGGCCTGGCACCCCCCACAACAGCCGGAAGGTTACAAAGCGCCCGTAAAACAGCCAATGTCCTGTGGCTACAATACGCCGATTTCCGAAGTCAAAGCCAGTTCTTGCTAACCACCGGCATTTACTTTACCGGTTCCGAATGCTATGTTCAATCCAGCAACAGTGCTGAGGAAGTTGCTTTCATTGCGAGATTATAGCTATCCGAGAGCCGACAGCATTCGCCAGAAAGCACTGAAGGCTACGGCCACTAAGCTCGCCGAGCCACTGTCGCGGTTCCATAAAAGGTGCTCTAGTGAAAACAATTCTCTATCGTGTAGAACTAGGGTATCACCACTCCCATTTTAAAGGCACGAGCAGTTTAGACTCTGAAAACTATCGCCCAGTGAATCTCCTCCCTATGGTCACAAAGGTGATAGGAGCGGTAGTATCTGATGCTTCAGTGGACTACCAGGAAAAGTGCAACGTATTGCCTCCAGAGAAGTATGACTTCCATTAGCATCACCATCACCAAACTGTCTATGGCACGAGGTAGTTGTTGGACGGAAGTAGCCAATGGTGTGACCGAAGTCAACAGCATCTATCTTGACTACTTCAAAGTTCTCGACCGTCCGGAGCACAGCACCGCACTTCACAGGCTACAGAGCTATGGAATCGAGGCTCCTGTCCTCAGGTGGATTGGCAACATTTTCCACCAACGGACGCTTTAAGTACGTGTTAGGGGATGAGCCTTCGAGCCGATTGAGGTGGAATGCGGTGTTCCACAGGGCTCGGTGCTGGAACCGCGCATATTCATGGTGTTTGTCAACAAACTGACAAGAAGTATCTCCCAAAATTCCCCGCTTTGCGACGATTGTGTTAAAACATGATGAGCGATTAATAGCAGCAAAGACCAAAAGTTGCTCCAATGTAACCAGAATTGTGCTCACGAGTGATCAATGATGAGCCTACTCTACTTCAACACAGCCAAGCGCAAGGTGATCCATGTACATCGTCAGCTCGTGAGGGTTTACAAGTTCGGGTAGTAAACTTTGTAAAAGGCCTTCCAGGAGCGTTACCTTGGGATACTGGTTCAGGACGAACTCGGTTGCTCGAAACAGTCAGAAAACGCGTAAAAAATGGTAATCAACATATTGGCCATCTTTGCATAGAGTCCGGTCGGTTTGACCCCACAACCTGCCCACAAATGCTTAACGCCTACGTGCGACCGCACGTGGGATATGCCATCCAGGCGTGGCACTTGTGGCAGAAACAGGATATCGTTGCTCTCGAGACTCTTCAACGGAGGGCAGCCAAGAACGTTAGTGAACACTCCAATCTGGCCTACCAGGTTAAGTTAACGTCCCTGGGATTAAACATAAGTAGATATCGGTGGCTGCTTGGTGGCCCTCATAATGGTGGATTAAATTCCGAAGGACCCAAGTCCCAGTTTCCGCCTGCGGCTGGAACTGAACCAGAACACCAACCTAAGAAGTTATCCTTTGAAGCTGACAACACAGTATAGCCCGATGGGATGCTGTCGAAATGTCTCCACCTTTCGAGTGCGTCAGCCTTGAAACGCTGTACAAATTTATAGTAAATAAATAAATAGTATATTCTCGACATAGCGAGGCCCGCCTGAATAGTCATGATCAGCAATACCAACAAGAGTGATTGGCGAAGGTATCATAATGTAGCAAATTTGGAAGTAGCATAATGGACCTGTGGTGTGTATTTGCGTGTATGCCGGTATGAATGTTTGCAGCTGTATTGCTTGTAATTGTAGACGTAACGCCGTAGTCAGGTCGTCTGCTTGAGAAGGGATGAAAGGGAAACTTTGTACTGGATGACTGGCGTCCGTAGAGTGTGTATGGCAGTGACTTTATTTAGTATCGAGTCACATTCGCCGCGTCGCAGTTATTAAGCAGACATTTGTGGTTTTTATAAGAAGAACGCTTTCCAGGGGGAAACACACCACGTCCTGAATCACTGCTGTCGAACCATTCGCTGAAACAGGATTTACCCCCAACCCCCAGCTGGTACCACGGGTTGTTCGGCTAGCCAGCCTAAAGATATAAAATAACGACTTGACGAAGCACTGTCCCGTTCCCATCTAATGGTATAACTTGTGTCGGCGCGAGGCCACATACTGCAACTAAATGGGGTGTTTATAAAATTCCAACCGGTGGATCTATGCTTTTAGCACGTGAACTCGGTTCTTCTACACGTGGGTGAATAAAACCACTATGGTGAATGTGCCAAGATGATTTTAATTTTAACATGATGTTTTATGTTCTCCATAACTTCCAGCCCCCGAGACTCGTCAAGCATTGCTTTTTATACGTAATGCACCGTTGTTCCACTGTTATAAAGCATCCTTAACTACCACCCAAGTACGTGAGTTTGACGGTACTGCGTACCGGCGCTTTGCTGCCGCGCAATCATCCCCGGTTACACGTGAGCTAAGGATACTACGAGGGTTACCCCGCCTCTACGCAGGCTCGAACCCGCGCCATCAAAGTGCTACGGGCCGGAAGGGTACCAAAAAAGTATCCGAGAAACTGACTATCCAAGAGCTACCGCTAAAAAAGGAACAACAGTGCTGTGTCAATCCAAATTATCGCCGCCAGTGTGAGAGCAACAAATTAGCCAAAAATATACTACACTAGCGACTACTAGATTTCAAAGAGCAATTGCTGTCTTGATATACCTCAATCAGCCGTCTATTTCTTCCTTGTGAACGACGCCCTATGCGGTTCTATGATACATAATCTTGGTAGTTCTGAGCCTAGGGCATGTCAGGTCCAGTTTTCCAACAAGCTGATATGCCTTGTTCCAATGGACACATACATTACGTAACAATGCTACCGCCAAGTATCCGGATTGTCCCAAATCCGGAAAGCGACCGGTTAGAAAATAAAAGATATTGTGGTATTACAATTACAACAAACAGAGAAAAAGAGCATATAGTTGAGTGCTTACCTCCGTCGGATGTGGGAAAAGAAACATTCAATTCTGGTATCTTTACAGACGACCCTGCGGGACGAACTACACGACGGTTCATGTCCTTCTGCGTTTGAACATTCAATATGATCTGCTGCCCCTTGTCCTGAATCTGAGCAGCCGGATCCAAAGCTCGGTTTTCAAAGCCACAGTGAGGACATGAGAAGGACGAGATAATGACTTCACGAAAGAAGGCAATCTTAACGACCAGAAGCCGGGTTGTTCCCTAACCAAAGTAAAAAGCAAATCACTTGCAGTTAAAAGGGAATCAGCGAAAAGGTGAAAAAGTGCGTTAACGAAAACAAAAGGGTGCTACAAACGTGTGATAGCGCAAAAGCAAAATAATTAACGCTAAGTGCAGTGGACAAAAGTACTCAAGTTCACGAATTCAAAGAATAGACAAAGAAGGCGAGTTAAACCCAGAGAAAAAAGTGAATCGGTGGAAAATCTCCGTGATAATTTCGCGTTTAATCGGCGGGAGGCACCAACCGAGGTCAAGTTCGAAGCTATGGACTTTATACATCTTGACGAAGTCTTTGCTTGGCCTCCTCTCCCCTAGTTCCATCCACACCCCCGGTGCACAGAAAACGCACGACGCGGGAATCGGTGTGTTGGCATGCGCAGCAAGTAGTCCAATCATCGGAGCCTGGTGCGTGATATAACGGTGCTTGGTGGTTCACTCGCTGTTCTTGCATCAAATACACGACGCCAAACATGCCCACTGCTCACGCTGTGTTCCCATCAAACATGAGCTTAGCTGTGAAGATAGCAATAGTTGAACGTAACATGCTTTTTATGTCTGTAGACTTGAGGGCCAGGATTCGCAACCATACAGGAGGGTGGAACGCATAGATGCATTGTAAACTCTTCCCTTCAGAGCGAGAGCGATGTCGCGTCGCGCCACAGGTGGCGAAGACTGGCAAAAAAAGCTAGAGCGCTTTCTATACGGTTCGTGACCTCATCATCTACTCCAGAGTCATTAACACGGTTATCTATATTCTTGAGTTTCTGGACGACTTAAATGATCATTACCTATGGTCAGTGCGGGGGTGGGTCCCTGACAATTTTAGAGGAGGGTCCTGCATTTCGATGGTGCAAAGCACAGCCCGAAATGACCGACAGCCAGTACTAATTTGTCCATAGCTGTCTGCACATTTGTGAGCTGTCACCGATTATGGCAGCGTCGTCGATATACTCCAATGTAAGAAGTCGACAACAGCAAGCAGCTCCACATCTTGTAAATCTTGTCCAGTGAACACAGTTTCCAACACATCGTCGATGCCAAATTTATAAAGTAAGATGATGGCGGGTGTCCCTGTTTCATACAACGGAAGACACTAAAGGGCGGCGACAGTTTGCTATAGATTCTCACTCTGCCGAAACTATGCGCGTAAAGCTAACCGAAAGTAGTTACGTCATTTTCCGGCACATCTTCCCGGTAAAAGAATCTCAAAGAGCATATCGAGCCAAAGAAATGAAGACGATTTCGTTGTCGATGAACTTGACTACGGTCGGTCACTAATAAATACAGCGGTGTTCTGACAACTGACTTAATGAGAATATGTAGTCAATACAGCCTCCAGTTGGACGAAACCTTTAAAGTCAAGCCGAACTGAAAAAGCAGAGGCTTAGTAGTATGCATGCATGCGGCATAAGGAATGCATGTCCCAATAAAAAGCTTACCGTCTTGCAGCAGTGAAAACAAAGACTTTCAATCTCTGTGACTTCTGGCTGTACATCGGCCTTTAAGTTTGGAATTGCAGTTTCACCCATGAGGAGCTACAAAAGTAACAAGGAGACAGAAAGTACAAGACAATGAACCAAACGGTTGAAACTACGTCTTGTAATCAAATATCGATGTACAAAGAGATAACTTGAGAACCTGTGTAACTCGGCAATCGGCCTGAACTGTTGCATCTTTGACAACTCACGTAGCGAAAAAGGAAAGATAATTTGTTGGGTCGTCCACACAAGTCGGCGTCACAAGATTGGCCACTTATTTCCTGATCTGATGAAATTGTAACGTCCATCCCCCAGATATACTGCTGCATACATGTAAGAGGGAAAGAACAGGTGATTTCGCTTCCCAAGCTCAAGGGAAACAGCAAACCCCATGCAACTAATTCAGTTCATAACTACAGTTTAAAAATGTGGTCCACGCTCCCGGAAATATGAAGTGGATAGGGTGAGGTGTGTTAAAAAGCTTCTGTTAAGTGAAAATGGAATACGGGTGTAAAATGGCCCGGGTCACGGACTACAATCCAGTGCAGTAATGGGAGAGAGCAACCGATTCTCCACTTCGGATACTGTCCCCATGAGCGTGCTCTGGTTCCGGTACTTTTCCTGTTTCGCCGCAGTTGAAAATCCATTGCTCCCACATTAGTCAAGGAGAAATGACCCATACTATCGTAAAGCACGCTAAATGTAAGTGCATATCGCCCGTCAAGCCTAATGCGTCAGTGCTGTCATTCACCGTCGACAAGCTTAGTCAAGATGATCGACATACGCTGCCAGATATCTTGAGTAGTCAGGGTTTGCTGTTTTCAAAGCATGGGTGTAACTGGAAGTGTCCAGAAACAATAGGTCACCAGGAGTAAAAACAAATGGAGGATATTGCAAACTACAAAACTGAGGATACCATAGAAGTCGTGGCATAAGGATGGGTTAAAGAAAAGGTGTAAGAAACAACTAAATGGGATGATTATTGAGTAGTTGCACATGCACCATAATATCATGTATTACGCGGTAGTTGACAGCATGACTTATTTCATGGTGGAAATGAACAAATGTCCGTCCCTATTTGAATGTAGGACTGACAAGGCGACTGAAGGGTTAACCTAGAGAATGTGATTGATGTAACTCGTCATTAGCTTACGCTAATAAATAGGCGCCAGTGAATGGGACAAAGTAGACCGCCGCAAGCGTTGATAAACACTTCACGCCTTCAGAACGCGAGTTCCAAATTTGGTGCAAACAGACGAGATACAATCGACAACGGATCCATTGTGATTAAAATGATTCTAGTAGCCATGCTGTCGTCTCCTGGACTTAATCAAAGCGAATGGCTGAGGCAAAAACTGTCTGCTAATGGGCGACTTCAATACACACAGTGTCAATTGGAACCTTTTTCATTGCGACCTTCAGCAAAATTCCTTCGAAAGGGGCTTCTCGATGCTGTTCAAAAATGCGGTCTAATTCAGCACACCTCTACTCCAACGCGGATGCTTCCGAGCCAGATATCAAACATCCTTGACCTGGTTTTCACTCAGATGACTATTGATGTGTGACTTGATGACCCTCCAACCCCTCGGCCGAAGCGACCACCCAGTAGTCTATTTCTTGTGGACACGACGTTTTACCATGACTGACCGCGAAGCGTACAGATCCATCCAGATTACACGTCGTGCCAAGCTCGGAAGATTAGAGTATCCTACAGTCACTGAGTGTCGAGGAAGCATGGAACCTACTGCTGACCAAGATGACGTCCATCAAGGAAAGATATACCAGGACAGACCATTTCACAAAGGACTCCACTGGATCGACCGACAACTGAGGCCTTTACTGAACAGACGGCGTAAAATCTGGGACGTATTCAAGAGAACACAACTATATTCGGATTATATAAAGTACAACGAGACTGAACCTTAACGTGGTGCGACGGTTTGCGTACTTCATTGACCCACTGAGCTATACTGGGTGATGCCTCCGAGCATCTTGTGAGCTACTCCTACCAGGTTGGTCAACGGTGAGAGCTCAGACAAACTCAGTCTCTTGGTCCTCCAGGTTGGGGGTTTGAAATGGGATGGCGTCCATTTCTGTAAAAGTAAATCACTGCCACCCCGCTGCCTTGCGGACAGGGTTTTGAGCCAAAGGCTTTGGATGAGGACTCTAACCGTCCTCCTGTCTAGGTCTGGGCGCCCTGGCAGTATCCCAGCTCACATAAAACCATGACATTTCCTTCAATCATAAACTTCATCCTGCATCGGCCGTCGCGCAGATTATCAAGAGTCGCCTTATCTGCTGCATACAGCAGGGCGGATAAGCGAAAATATGCTACTGCTGGCGCCTCCCTTCTTTCTTTTCCACCTGTTTCTCTTACTCCCATCCCGGCCCCCATTACTAACCTTCCTTCTATAATTCCCAGCTTAATTGACAGCAACCGAAGTGCCACTGGAGTAGAACCATCTGCAGCCACCTTCTCGCGACACCCATTGGACGCCTATCGGCAAATGTTCCTTATAAGGCCACGCTGTCCCGTTTCCATGGCGACATTCAACGTCCGCACTCTAAGACAAACAGGTCAGCAGGCTGCACTCGCACGTACCTTGGACACACTGGGTGTTGATGTGTGTTGTGTGTCCGAAACTAGGATTAATGACCCTAACGGGGTTACTGAATTGACTGCACCCGGCTTATCCTCTCGTTATTGGTTGCACGCATCCGGAGACGCCGATGCGGCACTCACAGGTCAAGCTGGTGTAGGTATCATTCTCAGCTCCAAGACTGAGTCATCGTTGGTTGATTGGATTCCGGTGAACAGCCGTTCATGTGCAGCCCGTTTGACGACATCAGCTAAGATCGATTCAAGAACTAGTAAAAAACGCCGTTCGTGATTTCTGCTTATGCTCTCACCGAATGCAGTTCTAATACTGTCAAGGACACATTCTATCACGAACTGAACGCGCTACTACGCAGTGCTACTAGTTCAGATATTATAGTACTTGCAGGGGATATGAACGCACAAGTAGGGCGTCTGAGCTCTTCAAAAGCTCAGCTGGGTGGTAAGTATGGACTTAACGCCGAACGGACTGACAACGGCTAGCATCTGCTGCAACTGTGTGCGGAGCACCAGTTGTTTCTTAGTAGCGCCGCTTTTAGATACAGTGGGCGCCGAAGTGCCACTTGGCGTCCTCCTGTAGCTGGCCAGCGATGGACCCAAATTGACCACATAGCCATAAGTTACAGGTGGCGTGGTTCCATTCTGGATTGCCGCTCGTACTGGAGTACCTGTGTCGACTCTGATCATGCCTTGGTGCGCTGTCGTTTTTTCATGAACTTTACCGAAAGGCGTACAAAGCGTCTCCTCCGATTGGCAACGGAGAAATTGTTCCAGCCCTCGGTCAGGCAAGCCTATCAAGAAGCAATGCATACCGAACTCTCGCTGTCTTGTCCTAATGACACTGAACTTCAGTGGAATAGGATCTCGGCCGCCATGCACGACGCAGGAGCATTTGCTTGTGGCACTATCAGTCGTCACCGCACCAGTCACTGGATATCCGAGAGGTCTGCGAACCTGTTGGAAGCTAGAAGACACCTCCCGGCTGGTTCTGAACACAATGTGACCAGAGGGGCTATTAGGCTCCCTACGTGCTGACAACGGAGGCTGGTGGACCAGTCCGGCTCAAGAAATGGAGGACGCAGGAGTAGTAGGCAAATACCGCAAGATCTTCCAGCTAATCCGCACCACTGGTCCCAGAAAACCAGGCGTCAGTGAGACGATCAGAGACAGCGTGGGTGCGCTGATACACAATAAGGAGCGCCATATGGCTCGTTGGGCTGAATACTTTAAAGATCAGCTCAGCTGGCCCTCTGCTCCCGGACCTCTTCCTACTCAGGTGATGCAGGACGTGCCATGGACGGTTAGTTTAGAGCCTCCGTCAGAGGGCGAGATCCGAAATGCGATCACAGCCTTTAATCGTTTTCGTGCCGCTGACCCGAATTCCCTCCCACCTGCACTATTTAAGGATGGAGGTGAGGTCCTCTGCAGGGCACTGACCTCCCTATTCGAACGTATCTGGAACGAAGAGAGTGTGCCGGCTAATTGGAGCAAATCGATTATAGTGGCAATATACAAAAAGGGCAGTCGCACAGACTGTGCGAACCACAGGGGTATTAGCCTAACGCCAGTTGTGACAACATTACTGGCCTCGATTATCGTTCGTCGCCTCACTGCAGAACGGGAATCACGGATTAGGGAAGAGCAGGCCGGTTTTCGCCCAGGACGTGGCTGTATAGACCATATATTCACTTTGCGGCAGGTGCTAGAGCAGCGCCACGCATACCGCAGACCGACAATAGCTGCGCACTCGATTTCAAGAGTGCGTTCGATTCAGTCGATCGATCGATTCTGTTCGAATTACTTGCGCGAAAAGGTATTCCCACGAAATATGTGAACATCCTTCGTGCTCTATACTCGAACACTACAGGCAGCGTCAGGGTCTATGGTGTCCTATCGGATAGCTTTCCGACCACAAGTGGCGTTCGTCTGGGTTGTCCGATTTCCCCGTTTTTGTTCAATTTCGTCGTGGATTCTATCATGGAGTGTTCCCTTGCGGAATCTCACGATGTAGGTGTTGAGGTCCTGCCTGGCGAAAGGTTAGTTGATCTAGATTATGCGGACGATATCGTCTTGCTTTTCGACGATTTTGCGGCGGCACAATCAATCCTGAATAGCCTGTGCAGAGTGGTCCCATTATTTGGAATGCACTTCGCACCTTCAAAGTGCAAAGTGTTGCTGCAGGACCACCAGCCACTTGATGACCCCTTGACGCTTGCTAACGAGGAACTCGAGGTGCTTGATCATTTCACTTATCTTGGCAGCTGCATCAGCAATGATGGGCGCATAGAAACTGACGTCAGCTCACGCACTGCAAAGGCCAGAGCTGCCTTCTTGAACCTGCGCCATCTTTGGCGACAGAAGGGAGTTTCCCTCCGTCTGAAAGGCCGCGTATACAAGGCCACAGTGAGGGCCGTTCTGCTCTATGGTAATGAGACTTGGCC